CTCTCTCTCTCTCTCTCTCTCTCTCTCTCTCTCTCTCTCTCTCTCTCTCTCTCTCTCTCACACACACACACACACACACACACACACACAAGTACGGCAAGCACAGCACACACAGACCCAAACCCACACCCACACAAGCAGATGCACACACGCACGAACGCAAACACATACAAACAGGCACCACGCAAGCAAGCGAGGGCAAACAAACACAGACAGGCGACCATGCACGCACACGCACTCACACTCGCACGCACACGCCTGCACACACACACACAGGGGAGGGAGGACGGCGGCCGCGGTGCGCTTCAGGAGGGCGGCGACCGGTATTGTTCAGGAGGGCGACCAGTGGGGCCTCGCAGTACCGCTTAGAAGGGCAACGGTAGGACCACCCATACCGGTAGGACGATTTTACGTCCATCTGGGCCGTTGGCCCAGTAACCGACGGCCTGGATTGCCGCGCGATCTTAGAATCGGGCGACGATCCAGACCATCGGCCCAAGATTTGTTACATTGTTGCAATGATCCTCCTACAGTCTTCCCCCGGACAAAACGCACGTGCGTTATTGACGAATAGAACGCACGCGGGTGTGGGTTGTACTCGTATACAACGCACGCGCGTTGTACGAATATAGGATATCAACTTCCAAAAATCCCTCCCCGAACAGGACCTTCAGGTAAGACAGAGAGAGGGAGAGAAAGAGGGTGGAACACTGCACGGCGCGCACCTGGAAAAAAGCGCGACACTGCAGGCAGGCAGACGTGTGTTCTATTTGAAGAGAACATCCGTCTGTTCAAATAGAACAAACATGTGTACTATTGGAATAGAACATATGTGCATTCTATTTCAACATGCATACTATTTCAACGTGCATACTATTAGGATTTCAGGGCGTGACTTCAAGAAATCGACTTTTTCAAGGAAAGTTGAATAGTACATATATGCGTTTTGTTCAGGGAAAGACTATAGACCGTGGACGGCCCAGATTCGAGATTTCTTACATCAGCAGTTCTTATAGTGTGGGCACTGTAGGGATCTAGGACCTCGCTCAATACCACTTACCGACCCTTGAACAGGTTGCACTTGAAACCGAACGCCACAGCTTGACCAATCCTGGACAAGGATCGCTTGCTGGGGAAAAAAAACTAAAAAAATAAAAATTTTATGCCCTTAACAGAGTGTCGCCCTTGAACTCAATCGCATGCAAGAGTTCAAGTGTCATTTTGCCCAAGCCGCCCTTTAGCTTCGCCCTTCAAATAAAAAATGTGAAAATTGTCTACTATGTGGGCGCGGGAACGCAGCCCTAGCCAAAGCAGTGAAACTAAGCGCACACGCACAAGGGAGAGAGAGGGAGAGAGAGAGAGAGAGAGAGAGAGAGAGAGAGAGAGAGAGAGAGAGAGAGAGAGAGAGAGAGAGAGAGAGAGAGAGAGAG